GTGCTTAGGTTTTGTTGAACTTCTTGGAACTGTTGATTCATAGTTTTCATCAAATTTGAATTTTTTTAAAAAGATTTTATTTATTTGATTTTTTTTTTTTAAGATTTTATTTATTTGAGAGAGAGAGAGAATGAGCAAGGGAGTGGCAGAGGGAGAAGCAGGAGAAGCAGACTCCCCGTTGAGCAGGGAGCCTGATGTGGGGCTCGATCACACGACCCCAGGATCATGATCTGAGCTGAAAGCAGATGCTTAACTGACTGAGCCACCCAGGTGCCCCTCAAATTTGAAATTTTTTCATTTTGTCTTCAAATATTTTTTCTTTCCTTCCCTTTCTTCTCTCTCCTGGGTTTCCAATTACGCGTATATTTTCATGGATGAAATTCTGCCACAGCTCACTGATGGTTGTTTATTTTATTTTTAAAAAAAGATTTTATTTATTTTAGAGAGAGAGTGTGAGTGGGGGGAGGGGAAGAGGGAGAAGGAGAGAGAAAACTCAAGCAGACTCAGCGATGAGCACAGAGCCCGACTTGGGACTTGATCCCATGACCCTGAGATCATGACCTGAGCCGAAATCAGGAGTTGGACCCTTAACTGACTGAGCCACCTAGGCGCTCCTGCTGGTCCTTTATTTTTAAAAAATTATTTTTCCATAAAAAAAAAAATAAGAAAAATAAAAAATTATTTTTCCTCTCTGTGTTTTATTTTGGATCGTTCTTAATTGCTGTGTCCTCAAGTTCACCAGTCTTTCAGTCTTTTCCTTAGCAATGTCTAATCTGCCATGAATCCCAGTCATATATTTTTCATCTTGGACATTGTAGTTTATATATCTAGAAGTTCCATTTTTTTTGTCTTCCTTTTCTCTAGTTACCTTTTGGAATATATATAAAATAGTTGTAATAACTTTTTTAATGTCCCTGTTTGGCAATTCTAACATTTGTATTAGTTCTGGTTCAGTTTTTATTGATTGAGTATTCTCCTTTTGGCTTGTGTTTTCCTGTCACTTTGCATGCTTAGTAATCCTTGACTGATTGCCAGACATTGTATTATTTGCCTTGTTGGGTGCTGGATATTTTTGTATTCCTTCCAGTATTGCATTGTGTGCATGTGCCAAACTTTATCTGTTTTACTCTTGGGGGGTATTTGGGTAATTTTCAATTTTTGGCAATTGTTAAGAATGCTGCTGTGAATATTCTAGTACATGTGCTTTGGTGAATGAGCATGTGTATGGATTTTCATTCAGTATGTATACCTGGGAATGTAATTGCTGGATCATAGGGTATTCATATGGTCAGCCTCAGTAGGTACTACCGAATACTTTTATAAAGTAGATGTGCCAATTGGTATTCCTACTAGGTGTTTGTAATAATTCTACTTGCCTTATGTCACCATTACTTGATATTTTTCTTTTTTATTAGAGCTACATTTTGATTTTATGTTTTTTAAGATTTTATTTATTTATTTGACAGAGAGAGACACAGCGAGAGAGGGAACACAAGCAGGGGGAGCGGGAGGGGGAGAAGCAGGCTTCCCGCCAAGCAGGAAGCCCAATGTGGGGCTCGATCCCAGGACCCTGGGATCCTGACCTGAGCCGAAGGCAGACACTCAACGACTGAGCCACCCAGGCGCCCCTACATTTTGATTTTAATTTGCATTTCTCTAATAACCAATGGAATGAGCATATTTTCATAAACATTTTTCCATTTGGATATATCTTCTATTAGATTATCTTTTTCTTATTCATTCCTAAGTTTTCTTTATATTTTCTAGATATGAATCCTTTTTTGAATTTATCTATAGGAAATGTCTTCTTCTAATCTATTATTTTTTCATTCATTTAATGTTATCTTTGGAAGAAAAGTAGTTCTTAATTTTAATATAGTCTGGTTAACTATTTTACCTCCTTAAATAGTTACTACTATTGTGTTCTGTTTAATAAATCCTTGCTTAGTTTAGGACAAGATGTTCTCTCTAGTATTTTGAAGCTGTCATTTCTTTGTTCTCGCTGTTTTTTTTTTTTTTAAGATTTTATTTATTTATTTGACAGAGAGAGACACAGCGAGAGAGGGAACACAAGCAGGGGAAGTGGGAGAGGGAGAAGCAGGCTTCCTGCTGAGCAGGGAGCCCAATGTGGGGCTCGATCCCAGGACCCTGGGACCATGACCTGAGCTGAAGGCAGATACTTAACGACTGAGCCACCCAGGTGCCCCTCTCTGGTTGTTTTTCAGATCATTTCTTTGTCTTTTGTGTGAACTTTATTTTACTCTACTTGGAATTCGTATCTTTCTTAAAATGTGAAATATTTTCAACCACTTTTAATTTATATCTATTCCCCATTCTTCCCATTCTTTCCAGCATCTCTGATAAATCTTTGTTAGATTTTTTTTCGTGTCTCTGAAATTCTTTGGTTTTTCACATATTCTATTACTTTGTCTCTCTGTGCTGTATTCTGAGTAACTTTAGCTTTTAAATTATCTCCTAAGTGGTGTATAATTTTCTGTCTAATCTTACATTAAATTTCTTTTTTTTTTAATTTTTTTTATTCTTATGTTAATCCCCTACATTATTACATCATTAGTTTTAGATGTAGTGTTCCATGATTCATTGTTTGTGCATAACACCCAGTGCTCCATGCAGAATGCGCCCTCCTCAATACCCACCACCAGGCTAACCCATCCTCCCACCCAATCTTACACCAAATTTCTATTTTAGTTATTATATTTTTCATTTCTAGCAGTTCCATTTGGTTTTCTTTTCTATGTGCCTGGTCAATTTTAATAGTCTGTTTTTTTGTTATTTGTCTAACCTTCAGTACCCTTCTATTTTTTAAACATATGCATACTTACTTTATCCTGATAATATCTGATAATTACAAGAGCCGTAGTCTTTGAGGGCTCATTTTATAATTTGTTTACTTGTAATTACTTCTCATATTAGCTTGTTTAATTGTGATAGTCAGCCTTGATTGAACCCTCAATGTTAATAGCAGTTCTCTTCTGTTTCCTTTATCAGCTTTCATTTCATTCTTTGTTGTGGTTCTTTGTGACTTCCCATGCTTCATAAAGCTCTGATCTCACATTTCTCCCTTCATAAAAAACAAAAGCAAAGCAAAAAAAAATTTCAAAATCCTCTTCCTTTGGTTCCATTTATCTTACATTCACCTGACAACTGTTTATTGCACATCTACTATGAACTGAATGAATTCTGTGCTAAGTGCTGAAGCTTTAGGGGTGCAGAAGAAAACATTCCCTCTCTTCTAGTGTACTTGAAGTTTGGAAGGGAGGCAGATGTAGATAAATATTATAGATATAATTAATTAAGATTGTGAAAAGAAAAGTCAGTCAAAGAATGGGATAGCAGGGGCAGTATTAGTATAGTGGAAAGTCAAGAGGACAATAAAGTCCATTTAGTACTAGCAATTTTCCAATAATATTTAGAGTAAATTTTTTTTTGGTGGGGAGGGGCAGAGGGAGAGAGAGAATCCTAAGCAGGCTCCACACCCAGCCCAGAGCCCGATGCAGGGTCCATCTCCTGACCCCGAGATCATGACGTGAGCCAAAATCAAGAGTCAGAGGCTTAACCAACTGAGCCACCCAGGTCCCTGTAAATTTTATATTTGGAGTAAATTTAGAGTAAATATTTAGAGTAAATTTAGAGTAATTTTAGAGGCTAGATCTTAAAAGGATAAAGAATTAATCACTTTGTCAAGGTAGGAGATTAGGAACTATATGTTTGGCAAGACACAGGATGAGGTGCAAGAGTTATGTACTATTGTATCAAATTTCAAACAAATTTAAATGTCTCTAAAGTAGAAATTTTGGACATATTTGTAGGGCCATGTTCAATTTCTAGGCATTTTTATTTGTAATTAACTTCAAATATTGAGAGAAATTCATCGATAATGGGGGCTCGGCAGTCATTCTTTTTATTGTCATTGAAACTGTATGCCACAAGTTAGCTCCATTAAGCTGAATATTATGAAGTTTAGGTGATTGTAATTTTTTCAGAATGAACTTGAGGAAGGATAGGTGCAGCAAGGATAAAGAATAAAAGCATGATAAAACTGCTTTAACATCCTGCAGAAGGGCATTGGAAATTGAACTCCTTGGAATTGAAAGTTGTAGGCAGATTTATCTATCCACCTGTCCACCCACCCAGACCAAGCAACATTTATTAGGATCTACTTGTTTTAGGCACTGTGCTATATGCTGAGGTTGTAAAGGTGACTAAGGTATTTTCTCTAGGAGTAATCAAGCAATGTCCGTTCATTTTGAGAGAGTAATCAAGGAATGTTAGTTCATTTGAGCCCCAGTATTTTGTAAATTATTGGGCAAACAGTGACCACAATTTTCACACAGAAATTGTATTACAGATAATCAATTTGAAAAAGCTTTTTAAAATGATATATGTGGGTGGGAGCAGTTTTTAAAAAAATGTATTCAGGATGAAAGGGTAACTATATATTTAGGAATTTTATATTCTTACTCTTTAGCTTCTTAGTTTTGATTTTATAATTTGAGTATAAATATTCATGACAATAAATACAATGTGCACATTTTATTTGATTTTTAGAACTAGTTTATGTGATTACATTCAGTTTTACATATTGACAAATCATATTTTATTTGCAAACCTCATTTTAGAGAGCACTAATATGTATATCCTGAGCCAAATGAGGCAAAAAGAAAAGGTATTTTTATGTTATCCCCTCATAAAAGAGTTGATTGTATTTGGAATATAGGATATTATTATTAACAGTATTACTGATGAAACCTTTTATTAGCTAGTTCAAGAGTGTACAAAACATTTCAGCATCCATTCTCATTTGATTTTCATAATAGCCTGATTAGGCAGAATAACATTTATCTTCATTTAAATTGAAAAAAAGTGTTAGAAAAACTTGTAATATACTTCATATCTTATGGACAGTAATGGGAACATAATACCATTATTGATGTTTCTTTGCATATATTTAGACTATAGTTTATATTTTTATTTTGTAGATGAAAATAAACTGTTACCTGCAAGATCAGGATGTACAATAGAAGATCATGTAATTGCAGGAAACGTAGAAGAATTTCGTAAAGATTTCATTTCAAGAATATGGTTGACCTACAGGGAAGAATTTCCTCAAATAGAAGGCTCAGCTTTAACAACAGACTGTGGTTGGGGCTGTACATTAAGAACTGGCCAGATGCTGTTGGCTCAAGGACTCATACTACACTTCCTTGGTAGAGGTAAACCAAATCTCTGTTTTGGGGAGGATTTTTGTTTTGTTCTTTGTTTTGGGCAGGCAGGGACAAAGAGAGAGGGAGAGAGAGAATCTTAAGCAGGTTCCATGCCCAGTGCAGAGCCTGACGTGGGGCTCAATCTCAGAACCCTGAGATCATGACCTGAGCCAAAATCAAGAGTCAGAGGCTTAACCGACTGAGCCATCCAGGGGCAACCTGCTTGTTTTTTTAAATTTGAACTCCAGCTTGCAAACTGTGTAAAATTTCTTATGGTTAGTTTCTTGGCTTCCTGATGTCTTCTAAAAGTTGTAATTAATCTAGCATATTCCATATTTATTGAACTAGGCTAGGTATGACTTACATGTAAGTATAAGTTTTTAGTAGCCTTTGGATTTTTTTTTTTTTGTTATTATTTAGTTCTTTTTGATTGAATTATCTGGATTATCTCCAGTTCAGTAAATCTTGAGCAGGTCAATGGCAGTGACTTTGAGCAGATAGCTGATATTTTTATATTATTTAAATCTTAAGAAATTTAAACCGCTTTATTTTCTCTCTATATATCAATAATACTTTAAAATGTTTTTATTTTACAAATATGATTATAATCAGTTAACTTGATTAGGCATATTCTTAATAAGGTTATCATGCTTAGTCTTTTAAGACTTTCAAAAATGTCATTGATACTTCTTACATATATCTATTTTTAAAAAAGAAAAACCTTTCTTACCATTTTTAATAATTTGTACATTTGTAGGAAGATTTTAGTTTAGTATTTTAGGCTATCATATATGGTTATTACTAAGTATTATCATATTTTTAGAGTGTTAGATAATTTTCCTGCAATGCATGGCAAATATTTGGTAACCTTTCTATAGGGATTATTGATGAGATTATTTAGAGAGAATGTTTATTCAAGAGTGGTATGGATAATACAAAGAAAAAGAATTTTTAAACTTTCTCTGGGATGATTTATTTATAGTCTTGTGCAATCACGGGCACGAATTGGGATTTTTTTTTTTTTTAAGATTTTATTTATTTATTTGACAGAGAGAGACACAGTGAGAGCAGGATCACAAGCAGGGGGAGAGTTAGAGGGAGAAACAGGCTTCCCGCATAGCAGGGAGCCCGATGCGGGGCTCGATTCCAGGACCCTGGGATCATGACTTGAGCCGAAGGCAGACGCTTAACGACTGAGCCACCCAGGCGCCCCAAGAATTGGGATTTTTTTATAGTCCTAACTAGTTCTCTGAATCTATGATTCATTTTGTTAAAGTTACATGTGTGCTTGGAACTGCCTTGTCATAAAAACTGTTAAGTAGTGAATATAGTTGGTTTTGGGGGTATCTTTGATCTTTAATGACTTCTATTTATTAACTTTTCATTTACTAGAGAATTGATATTACTCCCTAAACAATGATTATTTTGAAAGGATTGTTTGAGAAAAGAACAAAGAAAAGAAATTTAAAATTTTCATGGTTAAGACTTCTATTTTAACATATAATCAGAGCAAAATCTACTTTCTGAAGTTATTCTCTCATTAATGTTAGTGAATATGTTTATTGTGTGTTTGGGTAGTCAAGATTGGATGTCTGATAAATAGTACTGGTAAGGGAATATAGAAGTCCTCATTCCATTTCAGCACTGTCAAAGAAAAGAAAAGAAAGAAAAGCATTTTCCGGAGTTGTTTATTTGTACCTGAGTTTACTATTTTTTTAAAAAATTATTTCTCAGTATTATTTTTTAAATTTTATCTCAAAGCTTTATTGAGATATAATTTACATAATATAAATTCACTCATTTAAAGTGAACAATTCAGTGGTTTTGGCATGTTGCCAGGGTTCTGCAACCATCACCATCACCTACTTTTAGGACCTTTTCATCATCCCCAAAAGAAACCTCATACCCTTTGGCAGTCACTCCCAATACCCTGCTTGCCATAGGCAACCATTAATCTGCTTTCTGTCTCTGTAAATTTGCCTACTTCTGAGTTTACTTTTTTTTTTTTTTAAGATTTTATTTATTTATTTGAGAGAGAGAGAATGAGAGAGAGAGAGCACATGAGAGGGGGGAGGGTCAGAGGGAGAAGCAGGCTCCCTGCTGAGCAGGGAGCCCGATGCGGGACTCGATCCAGGGACTCCAGGATCATGACCTGAGCCGAAGGCAGTCGCTTAACCAACTGAGCCACCCAGGCGCCCTGAGTTTACTTTTTTAGTTTAGTAACCTGTATGACTTTAAATGCTATCTACTTATCTTAGTAGAATTGTTAAAATCTGTTAAAAGATCTGAACACCTTGCTTTGGGACTACTGTAGCTTGGACCTGGCCTGATGCTTTGAACATTGAAAATTCAGACTCTGAATCATGGACTTCCAACACCGTGAAAAAATTTACTGCATCATTTGAAGCATCACTTTCAGGGGAAAGAGAACTCAAAACCCCAACAGTTTCTCAGAAGAAAACAATCAGGAGATATTCTGATGATCATGAAATGAGGAATGAAATATATCACAGGAAAATCATCTCTTGGTTTGGTGATTCCCCTTTGGCTCTCTTCGGTTTACATCAACTAATAGAATATGGAAAGAAGTCTGGGAAAAAAGCCGGAGATTGGTATGGACCAGCTGTGGTTGCTCATATTTTAAGGTAAAATTGTATTAAAATCTTTCATCTTACGACAGAGGTCCTTAGGCTCAGAGATACTGATTTTTGCAGTGCATATATGTAATTGGAACTTTTAAAGTCTTCCTGTTTGAGAATATTCATAAGGAAGCATTCATTTGCTAAAAACAAGACATTGCAACTCTAGTTACATTTAATATATCTGTGACAAATTTTTCCTTTTTTGTTCATGGGGATAGATATCCAGGGTCTCTTTCTAACCAGATTTTCATTAGACTACCTTATTGGAATGTTCTAAAAACTAACAACTCTTTCAACCTTGGAACATGCATAACATTATAGTTTTTTTTTTTTTAATAGTGTAACCTGGGGGCTGTAATGTACTGATAGTGTAATGAAATGTCAAGAGCTAAAATTGATGTTTTCAGCATTTCTTTGCACACATCAAATTCTTGTGAATTGTAAATGTATGGGACTATTAATATTATAATTATATCATAGTAAAAGTAAAGGGTCTGTGACATTCAGAGTAGTTAGAAAAAAGTCGAAAGTCAAATCTCACTGTCCCTCAGCCTTTTATGTGCCATTTGGATACTGCTTAATTTAAAAAAAAATTTATCTTATTTGTTGTGTGTCCCATTGTTGTAAATGGAATCATTAATATGTCACCCAAATATAGTATGTTATAGTAAGTTTACTCCATTTAAAATAATATATACATTAGAAATTATTATAAATTTTTTTGCGTATTAGCTGGCTTTTATATTTTATAGGCCAGATGCTTACAAATGGAAATGTATTTGTCTAATGTTATTAAATGGATTGTTAATAATAATATCAAGTCCTGCTTGGTATGATATTTATAAAAGCATAATTATAAAAGCTTAGTTTCTACTCTTCAAGGTATTATGTTCTATACCCCAGGGATCAGAACACTTTTTCTGTAAAAGGCCTCATGGTAAATATTTTAGGCTTTACAGGCTATAAAGAGCTCTGTTGACCATTTTTCTTTTCTTTTTTTGTTTTACAACCCTTCAAAACTGTAAAAGCCATTCTTAGCTTGCAGGTTGTACAAAAATAGGCCACAGGTTGTATTTGGCCTATGGGCCATAGTTTGCCAATCCCTCTTCTAAATTAACACATACAAACATAAATAATAAGTCATGTGAAATTAAAAAATTATAAAGATACAGTTAAATAAAAATATTTCTACTTCTCTAATTTGTGTAATTTCTTTTTACAGATACTGTGACTTTTTTCAAATCATTTGCACCATTGAGAACATTCTATTCATTCAGAAATATTTTTCAACTTGCAGTTTTACTTATAGAATTCTACGACTCAAAATTAGGAAATTCATTTGTTCAGGTTACATAGGTTTTTGAGTGAAGGGGGAAAAAAGTCATGCATTTATTTATTTATTTATTTATTTGAGCGAGAGTGAGCGGGAGGAGGGGAGAGGCAGAGGGAGAGAGAGAGAGAAAAAATCTCCAGCAGACTCCCCGCTGAACATGCAGCACATCTGGGGCTTGATCTCATGACCCTGAGATCATGACCTGAGCCGAAATTGAGTCCAAGGCTTTACCAGCTGAGCCACCCAGCCACCCTGTAACTTACAGTTTAATGTTCTTTGAGTAATTTATTTTTTAAAAAGATTTTATTTATTTATTTGACAGAGAGAGAGCAAGCACAAGCAGGGGGAGCGGCAGGCAGAGGGGGAGGGAGAAGCAGGTTTCCCGTGGAGCAGGGAGCCCGATGTGGGGCTCGATCCCAGGACCCTGGGATCATGACCTGAGCCACCCAGGCACCCCTTTTTTGAGTAATTTAGTGTAATACTCTACTTAGAAAGGATTGACCAGATTTTGATACCATTCAGATAATAGTTTTGAAAGCAGACACTATAGGTTAAATAAGTAAAAAAAAAAAAAAAAGATGGCTTTCTTTCCCCTTAAATCTTTTATTTATTTATTTATTTATTTTATTTATTTATTATTTTTTTAAAGATTTTATTTATTTATTTGACAGAGAAAGACACAGCGAGAGAGGGAACACAAATGGGGAGTGGGAGAGGGAGAAGCAGACTCCCTGCCGAGCAGGGAGCCGGATGCGGGACTCGATCCTGGGACTCCAGGATCATGACCTGAGCCGAAGGCAGTCACTTAACCAACTGAGCCACCCAGGCGCCCAAATCTTTATTTAAAAAAAAATTTTTTTTTAAGATTTTATTTATTTATTTGACAGAGAGAGACACAGCGAGAGAGGGAACACAAGCAGGGGGAGTGGGAGAGGGAGAAGCAGGCTTCCCGCTGAGCGGGGAGCCCAATGCGGGGCTCGATCCCAGGACCCCGGTTTCATGACCTGAGCCGAAGGCAGACGCTTAACGACTGAATCACCCAGGCGCCCCTCCCCTTAAATCTTTAATTATTAACTGGAAATGTTAGGCTTTTAAAGGATGATACATGTTGTTTTTTTAGAAAAGCAGTTGAAGAAGCAAGACACCCTGATTTACAAGGAATAACTATTTATGTTGCACAAGACTGTACAGGTGAGGAATGTATATAATTCTAATTTTTATCTGATTATTTGGTTATACTTTTTTACTTAGATTTAATTGGCATATGACATTAGTTTCAGGTGTACCTTATAATGACTTAATATTTGTATATATTGTGAAATGATCACCACAGTAAGTCTGATTAACATCTGTCACCATACATAGTAACAAAAATCTTTTTTTTTTAAACTTTTTTTTATTTTTTAAAGATTTTATTTATTTGACAGAGAGAGTCACAGTGAGAGAGGGAACACAAGCAGAGGGGGTGGGAGAGGGAGAAGCAGGTTCCCCGCGGAGCACGGAGCCTGATGCGGGGCTCGATCCCAGGACCCTGGGATCATGACCTGAGCTGAAGGCAGATGCTTAACTACTGAGCCACCCAGGCGCTCCCTCTTATCAATAATTTAATCTTGCTAAAAATCCAGTGGTCACTTCTCAGAGAGTCCTCACATCACACAATCTACTAGCAGCATTTGACACAGTTGACCACTTTTTCCTCCTTGTAATGTTTTGTTTACTTGATTTCTAGAATGCTACTTTTCAGGTTTTCCTTCTACAGCGTACACTCCTTCACAGTGTTCTTTGCTGATTTTCCTTATCTCACTGATCTCTAAAATTGCACTCGGCCTTTAGACCTCTTCTCTTGTACACAGATTTGAATTCACCTGGTCTCATGGCTTTACAGGACCATCTATATGCTGTCAACTCCCAAATTTATAGGACCTCTCACCAAATCCAGGCTTTTATATCCATAACTGCCTACTCATCCTCCCCGCTTGCATGTTTAATAGATATCTGACACTTACCGTGTCTAAAACTGAATTCCCGATTCTCCTACTCTTTCCCCTCCTATAGTTGTCTATAGTATGTCTTTGTAAATGGTATGTCTCTTACTCTGTTTACTTATACCAAAGCCATTCAAATCACCTATGACTCCCTTTTTTTCTTCTCCCATCTTGCATTTAACATATTAAGGAGTTCTTTAACTTACTGATCACTTTTAACCAGCTCCACATGACCATCCCATGATTGTTCCCTATCTTCACAATTACTGCCCTTGTTCAAGCTACTATCATCTCTTGTTAGATTACTGTGGCTACTTTCTTTTCTTTCTTTCCTTTTTTTTTTTTTTTAAGATTTATTTATTTGAGAGAGAGAGAGAGAGCATGTGAGCGTGGTGAAGAGGGGGAGGGACAGAGGCAGAGGCAGAGAGAGACTCTCAAGCAAACTTCCCACTGAGTGTGGAACCCGATGCAGGGCTTAATCTCAGGACCCTATAGATCATGACCTGAGCTGAAATCCAGAGTTGGATGCTTAACTGACTGAACCACCCAGGCGCCCTATTTTCTAATTGTTCTCAGTGCTTCAGCCCTTGCCCCTACAGTCTGTTCTTAACACAGGAACCACACTAGTAAAGTGTAAGTCAGATTAGGACATTCCTTTTCTTAAAAACTCTTTAATAACATGCTGTCTCACTCAAAGTAAAAACTGCAGTCTTTAAAATGACCTTTAAGAGTTCATGCAATCTGGGGCACCTGGGTGGCTCAGACGGGTAAGCATCTGCCTGCGGCTCAGGTCGTGATCCCAGGGTCCTGGGATTGAGCCCCACATTGGGCTCCCTGCTCAGCGGGAAGTCTGCTTGTCTCTCTCCCTCTGCCCCTCACCCTCGCTCGTGCTCTCTCTCTCTTGCTCTGCTCTCTCTCAAATAAATAGATAAAATCTTTTTTTAAAAATTTTATTATTATTATTTTTTTAAGATTTTATTTATTTATTTGAGAGAGAGAGCACAAGAGGGGGGAGCAGGAGAGGGAGAAGCAGACTCCCTGCTGAGCAGGGAGCCCGATGCGGGACTCGATCCCGGGACTCCAGGATCATGACCTGAGCCGAAGGCAGTTGCTTAACCAACTGAGCCACCCAGGCGCCCAATAGATAAAATCTTAAAAAAAAAAAAAAGTTCACAGAATCTGTCTTCATTCTCCCCCAGTGTTTCACTTTATCTCCTAACCTTATTTTGTATTATTTTACCCCTTGCCAACTTCCCTCCAGAAACACAGGCCTCTTGTTCCTGGAGTATGCTGGCTATGATTCTGCCTTAAGGCATTTGCATTGACTGATCTTTATACCTGGAATGCTCTTCCCCCAAGTTTTGGCATTTTTTGGTTTCTTCCTTTGTCTTGACTTAAATGTTATGTTTTTCCTAAGGCCCTCCTTACCACCTTATTTTAACCCCCCATGCCCACCCCCCATGCCTACATTTCCTAGCCATCTTTCTCCCTTTTTCTTCAAAGCACTCATCACCATCTGACATCTTTTTTTAAGATTTTATTTATTTGAGTGAGAGAGAGCACACACAAGTGGGAGGGAGTGGCAGAGGAAGAGGGAGAAGCAGACTCACTGACGTGGGGCTTGATCCCAGGACCCTGGGATCATGACCTGAGCCGAAGGCAGATGCTTAATGACTGAGCCACCCAGGCGCCCCAACCATCTGACATATTTTATATTTTACTAATTTACTGTCTATTTCCTTATATTAGAGTATATGATCTATGAGGACAGGGTTTTCCTCTATTTTGCTCACTGGTAAAACCCTTAATGCTATATAGTAGCTACTCAGTAAGTATCTACTGGATGTATAAATGAGGTAGACATTTTTTAACTCATTGAGACCTTGATAGTGATATCAGAGATTAGATGACTGGCCACTGGGGAGGAGGGATTAGAGTAAAAATATTTCTGAAAATCATTTTTATAAAATTTAATACATATTTATTGTATTTTTCTCAGTTTACAGTTCTGATGTAATTGATAAACAGTGCACTTCCATGGCCTCTGATAATATAGATGACAAAGCTGTTATTATTCTAATCCCCGTTAGACTTGGTGGGGAAAGAACCAACACCGACTACTTAGATTTTGTAAAGGTATGAAATAACATTTTTTTAAGGCAATGCTAGCTAATATGAAAAATACAGAAGGTTTGCAGTCTTTTTTCTATGAAATTGGTAGTGATGATTTTATAAAGCTTGATATTAGAAATTTTAAATTTCAGATTGTAAGATCAAATATGATTTGAAGGATATGATGTTCTATGATCAAGTAAAAAGCCTTTTAAACTTCTTGTAGCTAATCAAGGAGACAGATGCAGCAATAGTCATAATCTATAATATGTCTACAGTACCCATTATCCCTATTTGTGATTGTTTGAAAGTATGTACCTTTATTTATAAAACCCACATTAAACTATTTTGAGATAATTATTGAAACAAACTGAGTTTGCTGTTATTGCTGTTTTATATCTTAACTTGAGTCCTGTGCCACCATAAGGTCAATAAATAGAATGGCTATTTATTTATATAGACAGAAATGATGAAGACAGTATGGGGGAAGATTCCATTTTGGTTTTCTTTATATTAACCAGTTAAAAATCTGTTCTATTTGAGAACACATAATTCTTTTTTCCAGATGAACCTGCCTAATTATATTATCTTGTTCTGGGCACCAAGACGTTCAGTTGTCACACAACTTTAACTTAAAAGAATTTTTTAAAATTTCAGTATAGTTGACACACAATGTTACATTAGTTTCAGGTGCACAACATAGTGACTCAACTCTGTATGTTATGCTGTGCTCACCACAAGGGTAGCTCCCATCTGTCACCATACAATGCTCTTACAGTGTCCTTGACTATATTCCCTATGCTGTCTTTTATGACTGTGACTTTTTCATTCCACAACTGGAAGCCTGTATCTCCCATTCTTCTTTACTCATTTTTGCCCATCTCCCCCGCCTCCCTTCTCTCTATTTATAGATCTGATTCTGTTTTTTGCACAAAACTTTAACTTTTGAAATTCTTAGTTTTGGTTAAGATTATAGCATTTATATTATTTTCATAGTTTTAATAAAGTTTCTCATCTTTTCAGGGCCAGAGATGGACTTGCTCTTTGAATGGAGTGTTATGGCATATAGTAATCCTGAAATTTGTCTTTTATGTTTCAGTAACAGTTTGTTCCCCGTGTGAAGCCTCATGGTCCATGTGTATATGGGTGGAACATATATCCTCACTATAGACTCCGCTGTTTCTAAAAATCTAGAGCAGTTATTTTTAATACATGAGATACGGAAGTTTTCTAGCTGGTATATTGGCTTTTCGTAATAGTTACTAAAATTCTGCAGGCATACATGTTACTAATAATACCAATACTATACGATACCGATAACATACGAATCCCCTAGGTAGAAGTGGGATTTTGATTGCTAACATGTGGGCTCTGTAGTAAAGTTAATGGTAGAATGTGGGAAGTTATGAACCATTTCATCTAGCAAATTCATTGAGGGTTTTGGGACTTCTGGCATGTTGCCACGTCTCAGTAGGTTGTAGTCAAGTCTGAACTAGATTCCCTCTGCCTTCTCTATAACCATGAAAAGACTAGAAACTGAGACAATCTTGGAACGGACTCCTTTAGCCAAACCCCCACTTCTAGTGGAATGGGCTGCAGATGGGCTTCAAGGCGTGTTTCATCTAGCTGAGGGCTTTGCTACTTGGTGGTATTAATATTTTTTATCAGATGGTAGGACTGCCTCATGCTCTTGAATGATTTATTAGAGCCTGAAGTGTAGTAAACAAACCATAGTTAGCTTTTAAATTTTTTTTTTTTTTTAAGATTTTATTTATTTGAGACAGAGAGAATGAGAGACAGAGAGCATGAGAGGGAGGAGGGTCAGAGGGAGAAGCAGACTCCCCGCCGAGCAGGGAGCCCGATGCGGGACTCGATCCCGGGATTCCAGGATCATGACCTGAGCCGAAGGCAGTCGCTCAACCACTGAGCCACCCAGGCGCCCCATAGTTAGCTTTTAAAGTGATCTTCAGTACCCAACATATAGGAGTTGCTCAACAAATACTTGTTAACGCTCATATTTGTGTAATACTTTTAATGCAGATATATTTCATTTTGCCTTCACAACAGCTAGGAACTATCTTATCTTTATAAAACAGAAAAGACAGATGTTACGTCATAAGTTTAAGTTCAGATAGCAAACTGGTAACTGACCAGAATTTTTGTAATTTTCATATTTTTCCCTAAAATATGGACGTTTATTTTTAAACATGTTTTATTTATTTATTTATTTAGCATGAGTGGGGAAGAGGGGCAGAGGGAGAGAGAATCTTAAGCAGACTCCCTACTGAGCACAGAGCCCGACGCAGACTTAGGACCCTTAGATCACAACCTAAGCCAAAACCAAGAGTTGGATGCTCAACCAACTGAGCCACCCAGGTGCTCCTAAAATATGGACTTTTAAAAATGTAATACTCTTTGAGCTTCTACCAGTTTAATTTATACATTTTATACATTTAAATTTTTCCAATTATCGGTAAAAAATGGCAGAAATGGCTGAGTGAAGTAGATTATATGCTATGTGTTATGTTTGCTTAGGGGTTGGTTGGGTCAAAAGCCAAAATGATAACTTGTAAAGAGGCATTCACTTGGAACTGAAAAAATAGAGTGTCTGGTGGTCCTAAAAGAAGAATAATCTTCTTCCTCTTTCAATTCTTCTTCCTCCTCTATTCTCCTTTCTCTTTCTTCACCTCTATCTCCACCACCATTCCACGCTTCCTACTCCATCTCCCTCTCCCTCTCCCCCTCCACTTCCTCCTCCTCCTTTGTCAGCAGTTGTATTTTTTCCTGCCAAACCATTGCGCTTGTACTCTCTAAAATTCACCACTCAGTTCTATTTTTCACATTTATTAATCAGGGTAATTCCAATCTTTCAGAGATGGTACCATCCCCTGCTACTTTCTGTGAGGAGAAAGAAACTTGGTGTGGTGCTTTATCAGCTCTTAGCTCAGGAAGTTTATTTATTTATATTTTAAAAGACCTGGAATGGGGAAAATCTAATGTGTTCTCCTTCTCCAGCAAGACAAATTGGGACTTTTCTTTCTGACTGATTACTTCAGTCTTATTTATTGCTTCATGGGTATAGCTCAATAAATTCTCACCACTAGATAACTGTGAAGAAGCTTTTTTAGGAACTGAAGAGTGTTTCAGGTTTCCAAAGATACAGTCTCTTATATGTAATGGCATTCTAGTTCCTAATCTGCTTCTAAGTGTTTATTGCTAAATCTGCTCTAGTCTGTTGCAAAGGAAATATAGATGTCAGGAACCAAAGTCTTTATTCCATTACTTGGAGTCATTCTTTTTTGCTGAGGAGAGTCATTGATGATTCTTGCTATATATATTTTTTCTTTTCTTGGCTATGAGGGACTAAGAACTTTCACTTCCTCATGGTTCTTTCTGTCAGAAACATTGTGTGTCAGCTGATCAGACTGCCTCAAGTTGAAGTAAGGCACTCTCTAATTAAGGATTTTTATTTGAGGGGAAAAGAACAGAACAAGAGACTATTAATGGAATAATAATAAAAATAGAATAATAACATTTTATTATTTTCTGTATAATTTCAGCTTAATTTGTTAGCTCTAAAATTTTAACCTATGCCTTCTTTGTTTTATTTAACTTTTTTAGTTGCAGTTCTCCTTTCCAGAAAACCTCTATGATATTTTCACATGACTGAAAATATACAAAGGTGTTATTTTCCCTAAAGGGTTATTTATAACAGGGAGGATCTGGAGACAAATACTCATGATGGAGATTTTAAAGCATGTTGTGCTATTTTCATAAAATCGAATATTTTACAGCCATTAGGTATTATACTAGTGATCTATATTTATTGGTAGAAAAAGATGTTTACAACATAATGAGTGACTCAAGTTAAAACAGCATATGTAGTGTGAAGCCACATATGTAAGATCGTATTCATAAGTCTCTATGTGATCTCTATGTAACATAGATCAAGTTCAAGAAGGTGTTCCCCAAATATTAATAATGATGAGCTCTGTGTGTTGGGGTTTTGGGAAATTGTTAGTTTTTAAAAAAAAAAATTAGTTTATTTAAGTAATCTCAACACCCAATATGGGACTTGAATTTATGACCCTGAGATCAAGAGTTGCATGCTCTTTTGACTAAGCCAGCCAGGCACCCAGGAAATTTTTACTTCTTTTTTTAAGTAGGCTCCATGCCAAGTATGGAGCCTAAAGTGGGGCTTGAATTCAGGACCTTGCAATCAAAACCTGAGCTGTAATCAAGAGTTGAACGCCTAACATACTGAGCCATCCAGGCCCCCCCAATTTTTACTTTTTAATATATACTCTATGGGTGTTTTTATTTATTTATTTATTTTTATTTTTATTTTTTTAAGATTTTATTTATTTATTTGACAGAGAGAGATACAGCGAGAGAGAGAACACAAGCAGGGGGAGTGGGAGAGGGAGAAGCAGGCTCCCCGCAGAGCAGGGAGCCTGATGTGGGACTCGATCCCAGGACCCTGGGATCATGACCTGAGCTGAAGGCAGTCGCTTAACCGACTGAGCCACCCAGGCGCCCCTATGGGTGTTTTTAAAATAACAACCAGGTATTATTATTTTTTAAAGATTGATTGATTGATTGATTGATTGATTTTAGAGAGAGAGTGTGGCAGGGAGGGGCAGAGGGAGAGGGAGAGAGAATCTCAAGCCGACTCCATGCTGAGTGTGAAGCCCTATGTGGAGCCCCATTTCACAACCCTGAGATCACGACCTCAGTGGAAACCAAGAGTCAGGCGTTCAACTGACTGCACCACCGAGGCGCCCCAACCACATATTATTTTTAAGAAAATAATTAAAAAAAAAAAATTCCATGGTTTGATTACTTGTTAAAGGGGAAAAAGTATTAGTTCATATACTTTATATTTTTATTAATTTATTTTAAAGATTTATTTATTTTGAAAGAGAGAGAAAGCAGTGGGAGGGGCAGAGGGAGAGGGAAAGAGAGAATCTAGAGCATACTGACTGCTGAGTGTGGAGCCCAATGCGGGGTCCCATCTCACAACCCTGAGATCACGACCTGAGCCAAAACTAAGAGTTGGATGCTTAACCGGCTGAGCCACCCAGGCACCCCATGTACTCGTTATTTTTATATGTTCTAGATTTCAAAACATTCTGTCATTTAAGAGAAGGAAAGTTTAACTATTATTTAATACTTCTGGGGTTTTATCATTATTTATTGGATGTTATAAAGTGTTTTCTAACTTTATAACATATGCTATATATATATATGCATAATATAAGCTAAACTATTGACAAGAGTTTACATGATTCCACTGGACATGTTTTTTAAAAGGTATAGAATTATTGGGGCACCTGGGTGGCTCAGTCGGTTAAGTGTAGGGCTCTTGGTTTCAGCTCAGGTCATGATCTCGGGGTTGTGAGATCAAGTCCCACGTCTGGCGCCATGCTCAGCTTGGAGTCTGCTCCAGATTCTCTCTCTCCCTATCCCTACCCCCTTTGCTCCCCTCTAAAATAAATACATAAATAATACAATACAAAAAGACAATCTTTAAAGATTTTATTTATTTATTTATTTATTTGACAGAGAGAGACATAGAGAGAGAGGGAATGCAAGCAGGGCGAGAGGGAGAGGGAGAAGCAGGCCTCCCGCTGAGCAGGGAGCCCGATGCAGGGCTCGATCCCAGGACCCTGGGATCATGACCTGAGCTGAAGGCAGACTCTTAATGACTGAGCCACCCAGGCGCCCCCAAAAAGACAATTTTTAAAAAAAGGTTTAGAGTTATTTGCCCGCTTAAATAGAATTCTGCTTAGAATAGATGCTGAGGGGCACACTAAATAATTTATTGAGGTATCCCTGATATTTTATGATGAGTAAATTAAGTTGACTTTAAGTGCAATAACAATTATTAATTGCCTTGGATTAAATTGTTTTCATTCGTCTTTATATTTATTCCAATAAATGTATGAAATCGCATAAAAATGTGTCAAGTGAATGCTGTTGATTAGAAAATGGTTTGTAGCTTAGGATTCTAAGACTCAAGATTCAGTGAAAACAGTAATAAGGTCTAAGGACTATTTCTAGTATTTCAGAAAGCCTGATGAAAATACTATGTTATGATAAGGCTGCACCAGCTAACCGAAAGGCCAAGTGTTTTGGCTCTGGCAGGAGTTTTATTGCCTTTATATGGTGACCTTATTTATTTCTGTATCTGGCACACAGTAATTGTTAATGTTGTTGAGTGACATGCTGATCAGAATAGATGATTTAGTCATGTTAATATTGAGTTATTTAAAGAAAATGGAAAATAGTGTGGTAGATAAAAGGATTTTGAAATATTTGGGCGTATGTAATAACAGTAAAACTGGCAGTGAAAAATTTGGGAACTACTATACATACTGCTACTGCTAATACAGATTTGGTTGTTTTGAATAATTACCATTTGCCTCTTGACTCTAACTCTGACTTAATTTCTTTTGGTAGGGTATTTTAAGCCTTGAATATTGTGTGGGTATTATTGGTGGCAAACCTAAACAGTCATACTACTTTGCTGGATTTCAAGGTCAGTGATTTAGTAAAATATATTTCTTTATTGTTTTCTTTTATAAGTCAGAAAGTTAATTTGGGATCATTTGGAAACAGGATGATTAACAGAGCAAAATGAGTACCTTATAAATTCATCAGTCCTACCATAGCCACTCATTTGTCATTTGGTCCACAACATAATTGGATTCTGTAAAATGTATGTTTAATTTCTGTTATTGCATAAACAGGCATAATTTATTGGTTTCACTAAACTTCAGAAGACATTGCTGCCACATTCTGGCAGTTACTATTTACATATTTACTTTTTACCAGTTTTAGTGGTGCTAGTTGATGATAAAATGACAAGCAATATGTTCTTCCTGTCAGGATAAAGTAGTGCAATACATTTTTCATATGTAAACTGTAGAATATAATTGTGTGTTTGTGAAAGTAATTTTATCACCAAAAATTAAATGACAGTCTCATCACTTTATAAAAATTCTGCTTATACAAGCATATTTGATTATGCAAAAGTTAATCTGTCCTGTGCAAACCTATGTTTCAGTCAATGAATATCAGTCTGGCAAGCTGTTACTCCCAGGTTTTTTTCAGCTATTCTACATAGAAATTGGATTATAAGCAGTGTAATAATAAGGTGTTTTTTGAATTACTTGTCTTCTGTTTTGTCCTTGTAGATGACAGTTTGATTTACATGGATCCTCATTACTGCCAATCTTTTGTAGATGTCAGCATAAAGGATTTCCCTCTTGAGGTACTATGGATAAAGAGCTGGTACTGTTTTCTTACCATATGAAGCAAACTCTAAGTATGTAGAGATGTGCTAGACAGCTATGCTTTTATGGTATTACAAGTTAATAATATTTTACTGATTTATAAAACCATACTCCACACAGTGGTCAAAGGTTAAATAATTTGTTGCTGAATTTTAATTTATGACACACTTTCTTCTTCATTTATCTTTGTCTCTAACTGGTTAGATATCCTAGCCCTACCAAAATAAATGATCAAGCCTCCAAGTTATTTTGTAGATAAACAGCTAAATATTACTGAAGAATTTAAAATGTTAGGCATGTTTAATAAAAAGAAAAAGGGGGGGAAGAAAAAGATGATGGAGTTGGGTTAGAATGACAAAGTGACTTGAGACTACCTGCTGAATTATTTTATTTTATTTTATTTTATTTTTTTAAAGATTTTTAAAATTTATTCATTTGAGACACAGAGATACAGAGAGAGAGAGAGCATGAGCAGTGGGAGAGGCAGAGGGAGAGGGAGAAGCAGACTCCTGGCTGAGCCAGGAGCCCGATGTGGGGCTCGATCCCAGGACCCTGAGATCATGACCTGAGCCGAAGGCAGATGCTTAACCAACTGAGCCACCCAGGAGCCCCCCTGCTAAATTATTTTAAGTATAATAGTTGAGTCTTAGCCCCTAGTTAAGTTTTTCAAGAGCTAAGTTGGGTTTCTAATATTTGTTTTAGCTCTGATTTTTTTTTTTAAGATTTTTATTTGAGAGAGAGAGAGAGAGAGAGAGAGAGCACAAGCAGGGAGGAGAGGGAGAAGCAGGTTCCCTGCAAGCAGGGAGCCCAATGTGGGGCTTGATCCCAGGACCCTGAGATCATGACCTGAGCCGAAGGCAGATGCTTAACCAACTGAGCCACCCAGGAGCCCCAGCTTTGATTTTTTTTTAAGATTTTATTTATTTATTTGAGAGAGAGAGAGAGAACACGAAGTTGGGGACAGAAGGAGAGGGAGAAGCAGACTCCCGCTGAGAAGGGAGCTGGATGTGGGGCTCAATCCCAGGACTCTGAGATTGTAACCAAGCCGAAGGCAGACTAGCTGACTGAGCCGCCCACGTGCCCGTTTTAGGTCTGATTTCTTAACATATTGTTTTCCTTTATGTTGGGTCATTTGTGATCCAGTATTTTATTTTTAAATTTTATTATTTATTTATTTTTTTAAAGATTTTATTTATTTATTTGACAGAGACAGACACAGTGAGAGAGGGAACACAAGCAGGGGGAGTGGGAGAGGGAGAAGCAGGCTTCCCGTGGAGCAGGGAGCCTGATGTGGGGCTCGATCCCAGGACCCTGGGATCATGACCCGAGCTAAAGGCAGACGCTTAACGAGTGAGCCACCCAGGCGCCCCTAATATTACTTTAAAAAATATTTATTTATTTAGTAATCTCTATGCCCACTGTGGGGTTTGAACTCACAACCCTGAGATCAAGAGTTGTACATTCTACCGACTGAGCCAGCCAGGCATCCCAGTGACCCAGTATTTTAATTCAGAAAATTTTGAGAGTGCGTAAGTGAGACATGTAATTATTACATGGTTTTGGTTCTTGTTTTCCCAGTTGTTGCTTTTACAGACTTTTAAAATAATCATAATCACTTGAGTGGCATGGATCACTAATTCTCAAGGAAGTATGGTTTAATATTTATCTTGGTAATAGCTTCCTAGCTAATATTAATATCTAGTAGTATTTAAAGGATAGATTATGAAAATAAACTGTAAGATTAAAATCTGGTTCTGAGGGGCGCCTGGGTGGCTCAGTTAAGCGTCTGCCTTCGGCTCAGGTCATGATCCCAGGGTCCTGGGATCGAGCCCCGCATCGGGCTCCCTGCTCAGCGGGGAGTCTGCTTCTCCCTCTCCCTCTGTGCTCCACCTTCTTGTGCTCTGTCTCTGTCAAACAAACAAACAAATAAATAAATAAATAAAATCAATCTTAAAAAAAAAATCTGGTTCTGAAAGATACATTATAAAACATCCTAGCATTCTTTGTAAACTATTACCTGAACTAAAAGTATAAGTATGTTAAGGCCAGAGATAAGGTTTGCTTTCTGTTTTCTTCCTTCATAGTTTCTTACATGTAGACCTTAATAAATATTTCTAGTTGACTGATACTGTGGGAGGCGTGACAGAATTTTGCTATGTGAACCACGTTGTAATTTTCTTTCAGCTGCGTGGTGGTCTTGTGGCATTGATTCCTGTGTCTAAATTACATTTCCACTGTGCCATATTAACTCCTTAAAAAAGTAGATATTTGAAACTCAGATGGAAAATTATTCATAGCATTCTAATATTATCTAAAATAGGCAAATTAAAAGATTATTACTGTTGACTGTTTTAACCAGTAGAGAAGGACTATTCTTCTGATATTTTGAAAGATTCTACAAAGGAACCAGGTGAGTGACTATCCTGGTTATGTCTGCACTAGCAATATTAGAAAGGCTGTAGCTCACTATTGGGAGGCAGGTGCATCAATACAAGCTTGCAGTTGGGTGTTGGTAATGAGAATGGAAAAGAGGAAATGATTTTAAGAGACTTTGCAAAGTTTGGTCAAGTTATGTAACTCCTGAAATGCACAGAAGCATTTATTTCTTATACAGTAGGACACTGAGAAAGTGGGTTTAGATTTATATTTTTGAGATGCTGGTAGAGTATCTCCACCTATCTGGGTAATTCCTCTGGACAGTTTTTCATTTTTCTTAGTTCAGGGATTTATCTTAGGCTATTTAGTGAATAGTATCATTTATTTTTCTATGAGAGTGTAATATGAAAACTATAGCAAGTTGCTTTTCTACAGAAATAAAATTTTACTTTTTGCTTTTGATCATATTTTAAGCTTAAAATGCTCCAACTGGAGGTATTTTTTAATAAGATTTTTATTTATTTATTTATTTGAGACAGAGAGAATGAGAGAGAGAGAGCACATGAGAAGGGGGGAGGGTCAGAGGCAGAAGCAGGCTCCCTGCCGAGCAGGGAGCCCGATGCGGGACCCGATCCAGGGACTCCAGGATCATGACCTGAGCCGAAGGCAGTCGCCCAACCAACTGAGCCACCCAGGCGCCCCCAACTGGAGGTATTTTAACTACCCTATATTATTAGCCATCCTTGGCTTGTTATATAGGTTCTGTGTATTTATGCTATTGAAAATTTGCAATTGATTGGCATAATTATATGAGCATTCTAAAACCACACTTATACCTCAATGATTAAAATTATTTTTTAAAGATTCAATTATTTGGGGGGGAGGGGGAGAGGGAGAGAGAAAGAATCCCAAGCAGACTCCATACTGATCATGGAGCCTGACATGAGGCTCGATCTCATGACCCTGAGATCATGACCTGAGCTGAAATCAAGAGTTGGATGCTTAACCAACTGAACCACCCAGGCACCCAAAATTATTTTTGAAAGAAACTTTTTTTGATCAATACTTGTTTTTGGTCAATAGATGGAGAAATTAAAATCTTAGCTCTTTTATTCAATTCCATGTAAGAAATCACTTAGTGAGTGCTTTGAGTCTAATAGAATTATGAAAATTTAAGAAAGTATGATATCTGAATATTTGAGATTAAAGAGGAGATTTAGCAGATTACATCTTTTGTTGTTCTTATGGTAGTGAATTCCTACATATTTAGAGTTGAACTTTTAAAATTTTGAAACCAAATCAGACCAAGTATTCTTTATTTTTTTAAAAGATTTTATTATTTATTTGAGAGAGAGACACACAGTGGGCACAAGTTGGGGGAGGGGCAGAGGATGAGGGAGAAATGTGTGTATTTAATAAGATTTCTCAAACCAGAGAATATTGCTTCATGTTATTTATGATACACTTTCAGAATGACCGGTTTTAACTCTTATAAATAACAAATTGTGTTCTATTATGTTTTTGCATTTTTTTTATTGTTATGTTAGTCACCATACAGTACATCATTAGTTTTTGATGTAGTGTTCCGTGATTCATTGTTTGTGTATAACACCCAGTGCTCCATTCAGTACGTGCCCTCCTTAATACCCATCACTGGGCTAACCCATCCCCCCATCCCCCAAATTCTCTTCTATTATTAAGACAATATTTGATTTACTAAATACTAATATTCTACTAATAATGCAAGAAAAGTCTTATTAATAGACATGTTAGTCTGTTGTGATTCCTGGGCCCCCAGTTTCAAGTTTCAGATTTTAGGATGTCCACACAGTGGTGATTATTTTAATCTGCCCTAGTAAAATCAAAGAATAGTGACATTAAAGCTTAAGAATGATGTGATGTGATTAGATAGTTAGATGAGTGAATTCATCAGTGAAAGATGTACGCTTTATGAATTACACATGTGAACTGCAGTTAGTAGGAGGTGCTTTATAGTAAGGGTATCCTCTAACTATCTTAGGAAGCTCCATCTAAATCACCAAAATAGCATAGCTACACCTAAAAGTATTTGTTTCAGTATTATTTGTATGTTTAGGTAATAGGATCCACTATTCCAAAAAAATAAGCCTAGACAGTACTTGGTATTTAGTAGGCACCTAGTAACTATTTGTTGAGGCAGTGAATAATGTATTGAAAAGTGAAATAAATGGGAATTAACTCATCTTGACTAATTTTTTCACAAACATATTTCATTGTCACAGAAGTGTATCTAGTAAATACTCCCTAAAATGTGTTTATAGAGGGTGCTACTCTTACCAATCTTCAGAATTTTAAAAATTAAAAAAGCAATTGTAAGTACATAGCTCAAAGCATTAGCACAAAGTAAATATAGCTGTGTAACACCCTTTGGGAAAATATTTTAAAGTCTAACTTGTTCTGCAATAAACAGAAATGATTCTGAATTATCAATTAATGTTGGCTTGACTTCAGAATCTTCTTGGGTGAGTGAAAAAATATAATTTTTAGTTTTAAAGTATAAAATGCCTCTTTGTAATATGAGTCCTAGTACTCATAAAGTTACACCCAATAGTAATTTCAGTTTTCATTTATCAGAGATTTATATCTGTGTTTTTGTGAATAATTTAAGAAGATCTTTATAGATACCAAAACAACCAGGAATAACACTGTAGTGTTTGTCATCACTATCTGTGATCATTGAGGCAATACAGTGAAACAACACTAAGCCTATTTGGTTTAGTCTTACTGGTTTTTACATGAAAACATAATTTGGCATAATGTAGGACATCCTTGTAGATGAGTTTAAAAAATACTTTCTTGGACCCTGTAAAAACCTTTGCCCCTTCTTTCTTATCCCCAAGTAGTAAAAACTAAGCATTCCTTATTATTGGCTTTGGAAAGAGTAGGGTGATTATTTTTAGATAGCTTATATGTATGTAGAATAACTTTTTAAAAAAAGATTTATTCATTTGAGAGAGAGAGAGAGAGAGAGAGAGAAAGAGAGAGAATACAAGTGGGGAGGAGGGGCAGGGGGAGAGGGGGTAGAAGCTGATCCCCTGCTGAGCCTGACACAGGACTCCATCCCAGGTCCTGGGTTCATGACCTGAGCCGAAGGTAGACGCTTAACCGACTGAGCCACCCAGGCGCCCCTAGAATAATTTTTTAAATATGACCTAGAGCCTTTGTGCCTTATACACTAATATACTCTTGTATATTGTTAACAAGTTTGTGTAGCTCTTCTGTGCCTTTTTAGATTTGTTTTCAATAAAACAGATAAATAAAGCAGGTGATGAAACAGTGTTGAAAAAAGTCCAACTAATACGATACTTGTGTTGACTCCTACTTTGGAGACTCGAGTTTAGTTAGGTTGGATCTCACTATATAAAGTAAGTATTGGCTAAGCATTTTATAGAAGTCATAGTTTTGAAAACACATTTGTTTGGCTATATTTACTGCAATGATAGTGGATTTGAATCTAATATATGATTGAACTATCTACAAGGGAAAAAAGCAGCTTGAATATATGCATTTTGCATATCCTTTTGTGATAACATGGGACACTAATTGGATCACCGGGATGGATATAGGGGGAGAGAAAAGAGTGATTTTGACTGATTTACCATGAACATAAATATGAAAGCCTATGAAAGCCTATGTATTTTAATAGATAGTTTCAAGTTAAAATCCCTTAGTTTTAGGTATTAAATGTAGGGAAATTTTAATTTTATGGGTTCAAATTCAGCCTAGATCATTTTTCTTTTCTTTTCTTTTGAGAGAGAGAACACATGTGCACAAGCAAGTAGGGGAGAGGCAGAGGGAGAGGGATGGGGAGGGAGAATCTTAAGCAGGCTCCATCCCCAGCGTAACTCAGATGGGGGTTCCATCTCACAACCCTGGGATCATTACCTGAGCCAAAATCAAGAGTCGGCTGCTTAACCGACTGAGCCACCCAGGTGCCCCCAGATCATTTCTTAATTGAGCTTATTCTTTAATTAAAAAATACAGAATATACAACAAAGAATCTCTCACACCTGTCTACCATCTGCCCAGTTTTCTCTCTGTCCCCTAGACTTGTTAATTTTGGTATATCCTTACAGTTCATTTATATAAACATAAACAAATATGAATATATATATATATCTTTATGGCCCTCCTTTTTTACATGTAAACATTTTTTTATACACAGAAAAACAGACTTTGGTAGCCTCAGTGATTTTTAAGGACAAGATATCTGAGCATTCAAGCAGTTAAAAAAAAATCTTTTAGGCAAAGCACCAGAATGTGGTGGTGAAGGAAAAAAGACTGGAGTGATTAGCTTTATATTCTTCCCTTTTCTTTTTTTTTTTTAAAGATTTTATTTATTTATTCATGAGAGACAGAGAGACAGAGGCAGAGGGAGAAGCAGGCTCCCCGCGGAGCAGGGAGCCCAATGCGGGACTCTATCCCAGGACCCTGGGATCATGACCTGAGCTGAAGGCAGACGCTTAACCAACTGAGCCACCCAGGCGTCCCTCTTTTGTATTTTCTAAAGATCCCAGACTCCACCAGTTAACTATATCCCATTAGCAAGAGCAGAGAGGCTAGCGCAGCTTTCCCAGCCAATTTATATCTGTGGCACTGTGACCACATGAGAAAAGTGAACTAAAAGGGACAGGACTGGTAAGGAGGAGAGCAAGGACCATAAGAGAACAGTTTTGAACTGTGTCCCATATGGGAATAAACAAGAATTTAAAGTAAAGCATAGAAGAGGGGGTTGGGGGCGCCTGGGTGGCTCAGTTGGTTAAGCGTCTGCCTTCGGCTCAGGTCATGATCCTGGAGTCCCAGGATCGAGTCCCACATCGGGCTCCCTGCTCAGCAGGGAGTCTGCTTCTCCCTCTGACCCTCTTCCCTCTCATGCTCTCTGTCTCTCATTCTCTCTCTCGCAAATAAATAAAAAAATCTTAAAAAAAAAAAATCCAAAAAAAAAAAGAAGAGGGGGTTGGGAGAACATGCAATTATGTACTGATTGTGTCAACTGCTAAAACTCTGAAGTTGACCTCTTTTCATATCATAATGGAACATTTACATAAATCTGGGTATTTGTTTATAAAGTCTTGGTATCCTTATTAAAGGATTTTTAAACATTAAAAAAAAATCTCAAAAAAGGGGCGCCCAGGGGCGCCTGGGTGGCTCAGTTGGTTAAGCGACTGCCTTCGGCTCAGGTCATGATCCTGGAGTCCCTGGATCGAGTCCCGCATCGGGCTCCCTGCTCGGCAGGGAGTCTGCTTCTCCCTCTGACCTTACCCCCTCTCATGTGCTCTCTCTCTCTCTCTCTCATTCTCTCTGTCTCAAATAAATAAATAAAATCTTAAAAAAAAAAAAAAAAAGGGGGCGCCTGGGCGGCTCAGTCGGTTAAATGTCTGCCTTCGGCTCAGGTCATGATCTCAGGGTCCTGGGATCGAGCTCCCTGCTCAACGGGGAATCTGCTTCTCCCTCTGCCCTCCCCCCAACCCTGCTTGTGTTTGCTCTCTCTCTCTCTCTCTCTCAAATAAATAAATAAAATCTTTAAAAAAAAAACTCAAAAAACCCCACCAAAACCCCAGGCTTAATTGAATTTTCATAGAAATCACTAACTTGATTCTAAACCTTGTACTAGCTTATGTATGTCTTTTCCAGTGGCACATTTTCCCTCCCTTCTGCAAGTGTTCGAAATGGACACCACTTTGACACACGTGTTTTCTTTTACAGAATGGCAGTAATGCCACAGAAGGTGGAGATGTGAATCGAATGTAAACAATGTTGGCTGTCATGTTTTACAGCTTTGGAGAGTGGAAAGGACCATTTACATAGGACAGACTAAAACGCTGTTTGAAAGCCTATTTATGAGAAAAGCTAGATGGCAAATTTTAAATTAAGTAATATCTTGTATATATTCAAGTCCATCAAATAAAACTAAATTAATCCTAAAGAACTTTTAAAATTGCAGACATTCCACTGTCCTTCTCCCAAAAAGATGTCATTTCGAAAAATGGATCCTAGCTGTACAATAGGATTTTACTGTCGAAATGTTCAGGACTTTAAACGAGCTTCTGAAGAAATCACTAAGGTAATTTTATTTAAAATATTATAATATTTGTAAATGACCTAAATTTTATTAGAGATAACCTATCAGAGGACAAAAATCTGTAAATTATTCTTTTGTAAAATTTCCCCTTGAATGTTAATATTATTAGGAATTTTGTGAACCAGAAAATAAAACTATTTGGGGACTCCTAGCCTTTGAGATTAATGAAATCAACTAGTGACCAGCTGAAAGTATCCATTGCTCCACTAGGTGGCACTGTTGAAATAAAAATCCCTTTGCAAACTAGCCTTGTGCAAGCAATTAGGTTATATTTTATTTGAAGAGGATTTTAAAAGGGCAATACCTTAGGGGGTAGAAAAAAATTAATGAAGTATTTGATCAAGCCAAATTGTGCATTATTTCTTGTTAGTCCAAGTGCTTCTTTGATTTTTTTTTAAAGAGAAATGGTATTTTTGGATTTCTCAGAACTGCTTTATAAAATGAGCTGTGTTGTTACCTTCCAATAAGCTTGTCTAATCTGATCTGTTCTACTTATAGGATCTTTGAAATAGGTTTATTTAACTCCCTCTCATTACCTTTAAACCTCTGCATTTTTTTGGTCCTTGAGTACTGCTAAAACATTTATAGAACCTTAAGGTCTGTCTGTATTTAATACTTTAGAAAATAAAAAGGATTACTTATTTAGGAAGTAAGCATAACTGGATGGCTGTCTTTATTAGTATCAATAATTATAGGCTATCATTTTATGGTAAGTAAAACCAATACTAGACTCATTTTTTGGAATTTTTAACTTGAGCTCAGGTGTAACAGTACTCATTACTGCTTTAATTTCCAGTTATTTTTCTTCTGGAAAATGGACCTGATGGGTTGAAATTTGATTTTTACAATGTAAGAATAGAATGAAAAAGTTAAATAAAAAAGTTTCATATAAGCTTAGTTTACTTGACCTGCCCTGCAAAAGAGGAAATTTAACAGGAAGATGACAGAAAAATGAATGAGAGGAGAAAATGAGATATGTGAGAACCTTTCCTTATTCTACATTTCTCATAGTTGCCGTCTTTTCATTCTCCTTTTTAACCCAGAGGGCCAAGTGAACGGAACAAAATGTGTCTTCTCCGTTTCCCCCCCTCTTTCAATTACTTGACGTTATTATATACATTTGTTTAATTTTTCTTTGGCAACTCTGTCTTTATAAAGTATCATGTCAAATATGTGCTAAAATACACAAATCCAGCTGATATTATAATATAGAGTGATGTTGATGACCATTTCCCATTTGAAGTCCTGTTGCTGTTTATGCTAGTTTATTTTCTCTCTAGGTGAAAATAAGTGTGTTTAAAACAGTAAAGTAGTCTATTCCTGGAATAGAAACAAATCAAATTATTACCAAATTGAAGAATCAAGATGAACAAATGAGTTGCATGTTGATGTTTTCTGATTAAAACTTACAGTTTTTGTGGGTTATATATATATATGTATATATATATAATATATTGCCTATATATTTATAAGTGTGTGTATTTATATATATTATGGTTTTTACATGGTAAAAATACTTAGAAATTATTGCTCATGATGCATCAGAGTAATATGCAATATTTAAACAAAGGGAAACCATATTGAAATACCATTTGGAAGTACTGAGAATTTTGCCAGAGTCAATTAACTTTATTTAATAATAGTGTTGTTCTTAAGTTAATAGCTTTTCATAGCAGTATCAAAAACTCTCTTTGTTGATTAATAACTTGATCATTTACTTTTGCTTGGAAGGTTGTAAGTTAAATAGTTTTCCTTTTCATCTTAAAAACTGAACTTGGCAGGTTTATGTTAAACTTACTTTTTTCTCTTTAAAAATTAAAACAATTTAAATTACTTGTTTCAATACAGGATATAATTTCAGTTGTCTCATTTTGAAAATAAAGCTAGGTAGCCTAGATTCTCATGTTTAATTTGTAATGCTATATGGATGAGTATTCTAATGCCTTATACTATATGATTTTTAAAATATTAATAAAAATTGTGAAATTAATTTAGTGTTTAGCAGAACTCAGCCCAGCAAGTATCTGAGTAACTACCATGTTGAAAGTATAAAATGACCAAGCCATAATCCCTACTTTTGAACAGTTATAAGGCTTCTGCCCTCAAGTAGCATTTATAGGCCAGGAGAGGGAATAAGACAAGTACATATACATTACATTGAATATGATAAGCACCCATACAGAAATAGAAAAAAATTGACAGAAGAAGGAAGGATGCTGAAATGAGAGCAATGTCACATCCAAGTCAAAGTTCTTTATTGTGATGGTGATATTTAATTTGGTCCTTAAAGTATAGGCTTAAGGAGAAGGAAGGTTACTTCAAGCAGAGGAAGTAACAAGAGGAAAGGTATTGGAAAAGGAAAATGTAGAGCATGTCTAGAGAATGGCGATTAGTCCAATTTGTTAGGTGCCAAGGGTACATGTAGAGTAGGATTTCTGTCTTCTGACTGCCTAAATTAGGATCCTCTATGACTTGGGAGTCTGCAGTTCTAACAAGCCTCCCAAGTAGTCTTGTACAACAAATTTGAGAACTACTGGTGGAAGATTGCAACCCAAAGTGTGATACTTGATGTTTTTAGGTAGCACCAGCATACATATTTTAATCTATATATATTTATTTATATTCATATTAGAAAAATATAACTGGCATATTAAACATGTGATTTCCTGTTAGTGATTTGTACAAGGCTATTTAAGTTAAAAACTATGGAAAGAAAAATAATCATTAATCGTAACAGAGATGGCGTACATAAAAAAATAATGAAGGAAGCATGTATGTGTCCAAGACTTGGGAAACACTGCTGTAGGAAACAGCAAAGGATGAGGCTAGAAAAGGAAGTTGGATAATATTGTGGAGAATCTTGAATGCCAAGCTGAAGAGGTCTGTAATTTAGCAATATGTTGATTTTATTAAATTATTTTTTAATTTCAAGCATACAGAAATATAGAGAATAACATAATAAATACCCATGTGCTACCATTGAGCATAAGGAAAAAAAATACGTATATAATTGAAGCATCTTAACCTTTCCCAATCTTATTCTTTTCCTTCCTTCCCAGTGGTAACTATTATCCTAAGTTAGTATATAAAACTCATATTTTATATTATATCATAAACAACATATATTACTTTGCATGTTATTAAATTTATCATAAATGGTATGTTTATATGAAAATGTATATATCCTGCAATTTGCTTTTTCATTTAATAGTGACTTAGAAATTAGATCTATACGTATTGGTCTAGCTTATTCATAACTGAATAGTAGTACATTTTGCAATATACTACTTTTTATTTAAACTGTCTTTTGTTGATGGTCATCTAGCTTGTTTTTCAATTACAAATAATGTTTTTAAGAATATTCTTGTTTATATCTCTTCATTTACGTGTACTACATTAACTGGGATTATTACAGTAGATACCCTAGATACACACTAGAGTGGAATTGCTGGGTCACAGGGTATGCATATTTTTAGATTTGCTGGATATTGTTAAATGCTCTCCAAAGTGGTCATACCAAGCAGTATATGAAAATTTCCAATGATTCACATTCTTATTAACACTTGATATTGTAAGACTTTTATACTTTTAACCAGTCTCATGGATATAAATCTCATGGATATAAATATATATAACTACATAGTATCTCTTTGTAGTTTTAATTTATATTTCTCTGATTAATAGTGAAATTGAGCATCTTATCAAAGTTTATTGGTCCTTTGGTTCCCCTTTTGTGAGTTTATTTATTTCCTTTCTCTAATTCTCTGTAAGGTTATTTGAGTTGAAGGAAATCAAATCAAATTTATAATTCTGGATACTACCACTTGTTGGCTCAATGTGTTGTAAACATATTCTCCCAGGCTACTATTTTCACTTGTTAATGGTGTCTTTAATTTTAGTCAAATTCGTAAATCTTTTTCTTTATGGGCTTTGAATTTTTTATCAAAGAAATCTGTAATAACCAAAGTCACAAACAAATTCCCTACATTTCTTCCAAAAGTTTTATGTTTCACATTTAAAACTTGTATATGTCTTAAGATCTGCATCTTTTTGGGGGAAACATGGATAACTGGTTGTTCTAGCATTATTTATTAAAAAGCCTAACCTTTCTTCATTGATTTGTAATGCCTTCTTCAAAGACTTGGATGAGGACAGAGCTGTGGGATGGGAGAGGAAGGAACTGTTTTGAGAGTTAGTGAAAGTAGAATCTATAAGACCAAGCAGTTTCTGGGACTTGAGGGCAAGTGAAAGGGAGAGCCCCAAAACAGTCTGCTGTACATCTATCTGAGTGTCTAGGAGAAAAAAATTAATAGTTCATTAATATGACAGTTCAGGTAATCAACAAGATTTGAGTGCTCTCACCCCTACCATTCTGCCAAAGCTCCTCTCAGGGTCACTAATGCCCCCCACATTGCTAAGTCCATTGGTCATATCTTAGTCTTCATCCCACCTATCCTAACCTTAATATTTGCCATAGCTGAACATCCACTACACCTTCATACATCTTCTTCATTTGGCTTCTACAACCACTCTCTTGGTTTTTCCCATTCTTCACTAGTTTTTCCTTCTCAATTCTCCTTTGTCTGCTCTTCTCCCCAGTCTCTTTAATGTTGGAGCACCCCATGGCTTAGTCTTCAGTTCTCACATCTTTTTTATCTTGGTGATTTCATCTAGTCCTATGGCTTTAAATATCAATTATAAGTCAACTAAAACCAAGATCATGTCTTTAACTCAAACCTCTTTTTCCAATTATAGATTATATATCTCCAAATGCCATTCAGCATCCTTTGTATGTCTGATGCACATTTCCAAAATCAAATTCTGATCTTTCTTTTCAAGCCTGTTTCTGCTCATAATTTTCCTCATCTCATTTAAGGGCAAATTTATCTGCTAAGGCCAAAAGCTTGGAGTTATCCTTACCTCCTTTCTCTCTCTCAAATCCTATAACCAATTAGATGTTCAATATATATCTAGAATCAGAC